GTCTAGGTGGATCTGATAGGATCTAGGATCTCCCTAGTCTGGTGAAATTAATATACTCTGATGAGATCAAGAATCTGTCCAGACTCCACTTGATAGGACCTTCTGATCAGGTCTAGGTCTAGTCTGGGTCAAGTCTAGGTGGATCTGATAGGATCTAGGATCTCCCTAGTCTGGTGAAATTAATATACTCTGATGAGATCAAGAATCTGTCAAGACTCTACTTGATAGGACCCTCTGATCAGGTGTAGATCTACCCTGGGTTAAGTCTAGGTGGATCTGATAGGATCTAGGATCTCCCTAGTCTGGTGAAATTAATATACTCTGATGAGATCAAGAATCTGTCCAGACTCCACTTGATAGGACCTTCAGATCAGGTGTAGGTCTAGCCTAGGTCAGGTCCAGGTGGATCTTATAACATCTAGGATCTCCCTAGTCTGGTGAAATTAATATACTCTGATTAGATCAAGAATCTCTCCAGAACTTGATAGAACCTTCAGGTCAGGTTTAGGTCTACCCAGAGTCTAGGTGGATCCACAACCCACTTGAAATTGGATAACCAGATCTAGTACTTGCCTACTATCCTCTTGAGATCCTTTGATAAGATCTGAAATCTTCCTAGCTAGTATATGACACTGTGACCAGATCCAGAATCTCGAAACCTATCAAAACCCTCGTCACATCGAACGAATTGTTTCTAAACATCTTTGATTCCTTACAAATCATGAGAAACGTTAGTACGACGAAGGTCAAAGTTTAGAGCGGACACAGAGTATGTTGAATCTCTCTGTCATTGATATTCGGTATAGATAAGTGTTGAGGCGATTAGCCCTACGGCGTTGATTATATGCCGGTCGATATCGATGTCATGACCGTTAATTATCGAGCAAACGAAAATCCGATTTCCTCGGTAACCTGTTCCAGTTTAGCCCGTCGTTTAAACTCGGATTTCCTTTTTCTCTCGAACGCGAAACTGCTATCATCCCCTGTTCCGCCGTCATTCTCCGATCCACCTTCAGCGTCGTGTTCTTTTTCTGAAACGACGCAGATTCGTTTCGTTATACCTAGAACGAATCACCGTGGATACCATTTCCTTCATGTCGACGACAGGTGCCCGGTCTCCAGATACCTATTTTCCATATTCAGCCGTATCATTCCTCTCTTCAGTCTTCTCGTCGTTTCTCTTCCATGCAATTCCTTCCTTTTTCTCTGTCTTCCACTTCGTCTCGGTTAAACTATCGGCTCGAACGTTTTCATTTCGCTGTTTCTTTTTTTCTCTATAAGCTGGACTGTCGGCCCTGCGAGAGATCGACGCGATTTTTATGTCAGCGAACTTATTCGGTCATCGAAACGCTTTCATTATTTTTTTTTTTAATATTCGAGTGACTTAGGTACAATAGAGGAGGAACCGAAGCTGAGGATAAGTTAATTTTGTGGCTTTCAAGATTCAATACTTCACTGATGAAATTAGGAAGCTGTATAGGTACATGTTAGATGAAATACTTCACATATTTTGATGTGGCTAATATAACATATTGTATGGCATCATCATGTACTATGTATCATATATTACATGTCACATACCGTATGTACACATAGCATGTATCACATTTCATATGTCACACATCATGTATCACATATCATACGTCACATATCATATATCACGTATTATATGTCAGATATCATATGTCATATATCATGTATCACATATCATATGTCACATATCATGTATCACGTATCATATGTCAGATATCATATGTCACATATCAAATGTCAGATATCATATGTCACATATCAAATGTCAGATATCATATGTCACATATCAAATGTCAGATATCATATGTCACATATCAAATGTCAGATATCATATGTCACATATCAAATGTCAGATATCATATGTCACATATCAAATGTCAGATATCATATGTCACATATCAAATGTCAGATATCATATGTCACATATCAAATGTCAGATATCATATGTCACATATCAAATGTCACATATCATGTATCACGTATCATATGTCAGATATCATATGTCACATATCATGTATCACGTATCATATGTCATATATCATATGTTACATATCATGTATCACATATCATATGTCACATATCATATATCACGTATCATATGTCAGATATCATATGTCACATATCAAATGTCAGATATCATATGTCACATATCAAATGTCACATATCATATGTCAGATATCATATGTCACATATCAAATGTCACATATCAAATATCACATATCAAATATCACATATTAAATGTCACATATCAAATGTCACATATCATATGTCAGATATCATATTCCACATGTCATATGTCACATATCATGTATCACATTTCATATATCATACATCAAGTATCATACATCATGCTCCACATATCATATACTACGTATGATGAATCATGTAGCACATTTCATGTGCCATACGTCATATGTTAAGTACCACATTATACAGTCTTATATGTGTCACATGAAATCTTATCACACGTCTCGAACTGTAAAAACCACTGAATCCAAACCTGCTAAAAATTTAAAAGCCCAATGAATTCCCAAATTTCTAAAAGCCGAAATTTCGTTTACAATCAAGTACAATATCCTCTGAAAAAAAGAGGGAATATCGGGAACATTTTATCGGCGAGGTAAATGAACTTTCCGGCAATATAGCCGGTCGGCATCGATTTAATTCGATCACCCTCGAACGAACTCGCCACACGAGAAAACATATTTCCACGTGCGACGAACACGCGGAGCTAAGCAATTTGAAAGGCAAACACATTTGCAGCCCTCTTGAGAAATTTCTCGCGATCGATGTCAGAGATGATCGATCGGCCGTACGGAACGAGAAAGAGGAAAAGTACTCTGTGACATAATTTCCAAACGTATTGGCCGTTGTTTGAGTAGGGTTCTTTGATAACTGGCCAGCTCTACCAGCCGTTAACTTTGCCCGCGAACATATTTATTCACCGCTCAAGTATTCTGAAGTGGGTCGCAAAGTATTCCTGATTAATGTCCATTTTTAACGAAACCACCTTCTTTGCTGGAACTTTCTTCTTCCCGTGGGAGAGCTTACTCCAGCAATTATTTCCACGGGCACTTCATCGAAATAGTTTACTGCTGGATGTTTGATGACAAAATCGTCGCATTTCTCTTTCTTTATTCTTACATTTTATTTGACAATTTTTCTTAAACAATGGTCTATGATGGTTTTACAGGAAACATTGCTTTATGAAACCTTTTTAAAATTCAATGCAAAACATGTTAAATTGTAGGGAAATTATGAAGTGACAGCAGACAATTGCACCAGAAAAATATTTGCTAGATTTTTTTAATTATAACGGTTAGGTTAGGTTAGGTTATATCGTGTATTACATGTCATATGTCAGGTATCATATGTCACATATCATGTATCACGTATCATATGTCACATATCATGTATCACGTATCATATGTTAGATATCATATAATGTATCACATATCATATGTCAGATATCATATGTCACATATTATGTATCACGTATCATATGTCACATATCATGTATCACGTATCATATGTCACATATCATATATCACACATCAAATGCCTCATATCATATGTCACATATCATATGTGACATATCAAATATCACATATCATATATCACATATCATATGTCACATATCATCTATCACATTTCATATATCATACATCAAGTATCATATATCATACTCCTCATATCACATACTACGTATGATGAATCATGTACCACATTTCATGTGCCATATGTCATATGTTAAGTCTTATATGTGTCATATAAAATCTTATCAAAATAAAAATAAATGAAAATACAGTACATAATAAATAAAAATAATGCAAAAATAACAAATGAAACATTATAATAATAAGGTAAAAACAAATTAAACTAACTGAACATAAAATAAATGATAAAAAAATGATGTTAAAATGAATTTTGTCTAACATAGTTATCTAAAAGAGAAAGTACTAAAATTGCAATTATTGACAAATTTTGCACACGCTGTCCCAACGACCATTCCCGTCCGACATATGTTTCATCGCGTTAAAAAATAATATTTTCCACGAGGTGAAAATTATTACAGAAACACTTTGTCTCCGAGAATAGGTAGCGCGCGCTAAGAGTGAAATTTTTGAAAGAACGATGATAACAAAGTTTCAGACTACGGTGAATATCCAGAGAATTTTAGAGCAAGCATTTAGAGAGGGAAAAAGTGTATTCTAAAAAGTGCTTGAATATAAAGGGAGAACTTTTTGTCTTTAGCTCGTTTAAATTTCGTTTGTTTTAGTATGTCATTACTGTAGGTAAGATTCTACAAGAGAAATTATCTTAAATTCGCTTATGTTCACCACTGTTTTCTGTGTTCGATCAAAAAATATATTTTTAGAAAAATTACTACAAAAAATTTGAAATAAATTCAAATCTTATTGTGGAGTTAAAATTAAATTAAACTGTGAAATAAATATACTGTGTATTTACAAATAGTAAATTTAATTTTTGGATAAATAAATAAAAATATATTTCAACAAAATTACTAAAAAATTTGAAATAAATTCAAATCTTAGTGTAGAGTTAAAATTAAATTAAACTGTGAAATAAATATACTGTGTATTTACAAATAGTAAATTTAATTTTTAGATAAATAAATAAAAATATATTTCAACAAAATTACTAAAAAAAAAAATTTTTGTCAATACATTAACATAATTTTTAGATAAATAAATGATAAAAAATTTTTGTCAATACATTAACATAATTTTTAGATAAATAAATGATAAAAAATTTTTGTCAATACATTAACATAATTTTTAGATAAATAAATGATAAAAAATTTTTGTCAATACATTAACATAATTTTTAGATAAATAAATGATAAAAAATTTTTGTCAATACATTAACATAATTTTTAGACAAATGAATAACAAAAAATTTTTGTGAATATACTAACAAAAGATAAAATTAATAATAAAGCTTACCTCAGTAAAAAGCCAAGAAGTGAGAAGTGCCAAACTGCTGTACTGTCCATTAAATCGATAATGATAAGCGTAGAAAGAGAAGTGGTAGAGATAGAAGAACCTGAAACAAAAATAATATTCCCGAATAATAGAAGCGTAGTTTTTTTGTAGTCGAGAATAGCATTAAAGTTACTTAACAGATTACGCAACTCCTCGATATTTACGGTATATTGCCAACCGTGCAACAACATGGACGCTTTATCGATCACATTGTATCGGATTCCTGCCTATTGAAATATCAAGGCTGACGCGTTACATGGAACGGAACGTCATTAGTGTAACTGGGAAATTACGTACAATGCGTCGAAAAAGTTTGCACCTGAACTTTCGAGGTGGGCTTTTATTTATGTGTAGGGAAATTTTTAAATATTTTTGTTATTAAAATTTGAGAATTTGTGGGTTATTGAAGTTTAGAGTTTTAGGTTTGTGAATTATCGGATTTATGAATTTTTAAGGTTATGAAACTTCGAGTTTGAGAATTTTCAAGTTTATGGAATTTCGAGTTTGAGAATTTTCAAGTTTATGAATTTCAAAGTTTGAGGATTTTCAAGTTTATGAAATTTCAAGTTTGAGGATTTTCAAGTTTATGGAATTTCGAGTTTAAGAATTTTCAAATTTGAGAATTTTCAAGTTTATGAAATTTCAAGTTTGAGGATTTTCAAGTTAATGAAATTCCAAGTTTGAGGATTTTCAAGTTTATGAAATTTCAAGTTTGAGAATTTTCAAGTTTATGAATTTTGAAGTTTGACAATTTTATAATTTAAGAATTTTCAAGTTTATGAAATTTCAAGTTTGACAATTTTATAATTTAAGAATTTTTAAATTTGAGAATTTTCAAGTTTAAAAATCTTCAAATTCTAAAATTCCCTAGATCCCCAAATCTTCCAAGCTATCCAAATTCCACAACTCTCCCTAAAAATTACCAAATTTGAGAACTCCACCCAATTCATCCCCATATTCACTCCAAACAACCTAAACAACTCAACACAAATTTCAATCGTACATTTCGATTGCACAACCTCGAAAAATCATAAAGCCTTTTCTCATCTGGACAAGAATTAATCCAGCTGTATTTGATGGTGAATAAAACACAGAAACATTTTATCTCTTAATCTCCTTCTAACTTAATTACTTGTTACGGTACTTCGTGCTGTCTCGTTCAAACGAACAAAGTCTCCAAGATTTTCCTCGGTAATTGTTGTTCGAAACTGTTAAGAGCAATTTCCTCCTATTTTTCCATTCTGTTTCTATCAAAAACAATGACACAACATTCTTGGACAATCTAAGAACAATTCGATCAATGTTCCTTCCTTATCGAATTTCGACGAAGCAGTAGACTCTGCGTATTGAATATAGCGTCACATATGCATGACGCACGCGTGACGCACTCATGACACACTCGTGACGCACTCGCAGTGCAAGTATTGTACATTTTTCTCATATTTTTGGCACGCGTGAATTTTCCATTTAGGTGTACTCGTGACGCACTCGTGACGCACTTGCAGTTCAAGTATCGTCAATTTTTCTCACATTTTTGGTACGCGAGAATTTTCAATTCGGGTGGAATAATTTACGTACGGATGTCCCGCGAGTTGGCGCGTCTGCTATGACGCACTCGTGACGCACTCGCGGTTCAAATGTAAATTTGGGATTTGGGAATCTGAAAATTGAGATGTTGGGAGATTT